GGGGGGGGGGGGGGGGGGGGGGGGGGGGGGGGGGGGGGGGGGGGGGGGGGGGGGGGGGGGGGGGGGGGGCGTCCGTCGCCCGATAGGGAACGGTGGTACCGCTGCTGCTGCAGGAAATGACGCTTGGCACGTCGTCCCAACCAAAGGCTCTTATGCCACCCACGTTTGGCCTTCGATTCATCGGCACAAGCCCCGGACAAGAAATTTCCGTCTCTCTCTGCGTGCAGCGTGCCATACACGCGCGAGCAGTGTTTTTTTTATTGTCTATTGTGCGTTGCTGCATCCTGCCGGTTTGCGCTTCCTCCAACAACAAAGGCCGAAAAAAAATTGAATAGCACACACACTGCTGCTCTGTGGATTAGTTGATTCCATCCGCCGTCAATTAATTCCGCCGCAGATCGGTGGCGCCATCGGGACGCTCTTCTGCCTGGCGCTTACGCTGGGATCTTCGCTCTACGTGCTCGGGGCGGTGGAGACGATCATGACGGGCTTTAGCACCGGAGGAGGGCACAACAGCGACAGCGGGATACCGCAGGTACTGTAGGCGCACGCGGGGGGGACAAGACCAATCATTACCGAAGAGGGGGTGACTTTTTCGGATTGGTGTGCAGGAAGCTCTCAGCGGCACCTTTTGCAGACGATGACGGGTTGCTCGGTATGGGAGTAGGACCCTGAGAAAGCGGTTGCTAGTAGGGCTTGTGAGTTTTTCGTGCTTGTTTTGGCCGGTAGGAGACTCTTTGTTCCCTTTGGGGCAGACTGGGGCGGATCGACCACCAAGCATGTGGTAAGGCTGGGAGTGATCGACCACCAAGCATGTGGTAAGGCTGGGGGGAATCGACCACGGAGCATGTGGTAAGGGAGAGACAGGGCGGGATAACTTCCGAATCAATCCGGACCGCCTTCGCGGGAATTATTAATATTAATAGAAGTACGAAATTGAGAGGGGGGTTTTGTGTCCCTATCCCTACCCCCCGACCTCACCACGTACCCCCTACTTAAAACCAAGATCATTTTCCTTGCGAAGCTACTGATCGATCCCCCGGGGCGAAGAGGGCCGTCTAGGTTTTGGAGCAAGCAGGGGGAAAGAAGAAGAACTTTGCGGATGGACGGGAGGGTAACGGAGGACCGGGGAGGGCGTTGTGCCGTGGCGAATAGTGTCGTCGCGTGCAGCACGCTCGATCGCGGGCCCCTCTGTGTGTATTTTGTCTGTTTGTTGGCTGTATCTCTCTTGAGTGCGTTGTCCTGCTGATGATAACGTGTAACGCCAGGGGCATTATCGTGCGGCGGAGTCGTCTATAATGTGTCTTGGTTTTCCGATTCAAAATGCAGAAGACTGCTGCATGTGGGCTTGTGATTTTTTTTGTTTGGTTCGTTGGTTTTCGCTGGGCTTTTCGAGTCAAAAACACGTCAGCTGTGGAAACTGTTGAGTGGAAACGTTGCAGCTGGCAGCTGGCAGCCAGCGGTGGACTTGTCCTACGGCCTCCTTCTATTTCACCTTTCATCACCCCTTGATGACATGACTGTATTGTCATCAGCCCACTCCGGAGGGATCATTTGTATCTAGGATTAACTCATTGTTTTGATCTCGAGCAATGACTTGGTGTCTCGGCCTTTCGCCCCCCCCCCCCCCCCCCCCCCCCC